CTTTTTCTGCCTTAAAGTGCAAACAATCCTTCTTCTTCCCAGTCCTCATCTCAGACTACTGTTTTCTGCCTTCCCCGAAGCAAGGCTGGAGAGCTGACCCCAAGGATCAATCTCTCCAAAGGCTGCACTACAATCCTAGCTCTCCACTCTCTGTTTCTTGGTGTCAGTGAGAAAAGGGGAGCGGAAAAGTAAGGCAAGGGAGAGAGAAGGGGTAAGGTGAGGCGGTTCACACAAAATGAAACACAGCATTCGGAGACACACCAGGGTGCAGGGATGCTCCCACATCCCAGGTCCTAACAACAAACTTCTTTTTCAGAGGTTCATTGTCAATCAATTAGCCAAGGCAACAGGGGTCTGTGAGATGGGGGCCGCTCAGGGAAACAATGGGCTGCCCTGTTGTATTACTATTTAATCACTTTTACTAAATAAATAGAGCAGCCCCGAGGCGCTGTCACGTCAAGGGAATTTATAACAACAACAACAACAACAAAAAACAACCCTTCATTTTTTCATTGGTCATTACTTTTTTTCCCTTCAGGACAGAGAGGGTTATTACTGTAGCCTTAAGTTCCATCTTTGTGTTTCTTGCCTTTCCCCCCCCCCCCCCCCCCTTGAGTCCCCCCCTCTCCCAAGGGCTGGAGAGGAAGAAAAAGGAAAGCAACAGCTCTTAATGCCAGAGATGCACAATCACCAGCAGCAGTCCCCAGAGGTTAAACAGCAGCCAGGGAGCAAAACCATAAAAACAACATGGGGAAAGCGGTGGCGGCCTAGGCCCAAGCTTCTTCCTTCCCTTCCCACATCCCACCTCAGCTGCCATCGTGAGCATTGCCCTGAGTGGGCCACCCAAACCACCTCAGATTACAAAACAGTCGCACAAGGGACACTTCTGAAGGTGAGCGTGGCATCTCTGTCACGCCTCCGAAGTCCCAGCTCTTCAAATTCTTGTACTCAATTGCTAGATCTCTTGACTGCTGGAAAATTACTGTGTATCTGCTGAGTACAAACAAACAGATGCACATGTCAAATCTCTAAAGAAAACAGGCATGTTGTCTCATAGTCTACTTTATAAAGCAGCTATGAATAACCCAATTTAGAACCTCTCATAGGTATGCATTTCATAAATATTTTAGTAAGCGGCACAATCATCGTTTAAGCATTAATATTTTAGTATCACAGATTCCTCATTGCCAAGTACAATTTTGAATTCCAGTCCATAATCTCACAGAAGCAGCACACCTCACTTTCTATTACAGATGCCTTCCACAGAGGCCATATTAAAGCACCCCCAAATAACAGCTGTGCAGCATCTTGTCCAGCACAAGAACTTTCTCTCTGTTCAAAAATTTTCTGTGAAGTCACAGTCAGCCTTATTGAGTGCCTTATTTATAGGCCCGAAATGATGAATGGCCAGCAGTTTCATACAGTCCTACTGGGTGCCACTTCCAAGGACCTATGGATCTTGTCATGGCTGCTATTTGGCAGTTACCAATGTGATTCCTGCATCCACATTTCTGAAACCCGGACCCCAGGCACACCAAGTACTGGGCAAGCACTAAATGATCAGAAGAGCACAGGAATGGGTTTTCAGGTGCCGGGAAGTGGAACTGGCAAGTTCAGGAATCCCCAGGAGACAGGCATGAACATGGTTAGGTTTCTGTAGCAAGAGCTTCCTAAGCAGCATAGAACTGGAGAGGAAGCTATGCAACCATCACACATAACAAAATGTAACTATCCTAAGTCTAAGCACAAGCCAAGAAATATGCAGTCATGGGCCAGAATATAGCTTTAAAACTTTAACCTCAGGCATCCTGGGATGGTCATGTTCCATTTCCTCCATAGGGAAATCTAAAAATTTTTAAGGGATCTAGAGAATTCTTCACTTAGACAAAGAATTTAGTGAAATAAGGCCAACTGTCTTATTTTATATATGTAAATGCCAGCATCTGTGGCTCCTCTGAATAGTAATCAAATGACATCAGAATAAAGAGCCTACTCAGTGCAACCTTCTATTTAACAAGGGGGGGGGGACTAAGCAGACATTAAAAACTCAGCAGTCAAAGAGATACACTAAAGTCATGAAATTGTGTGAATTTGCTTCTTAAAAAATACATAAAGCCCAATGTGTGGGACTGATTGACAGTCGGGAAGGCAGATATTCTGTGCACCTGCTTTTTCAGGCTGTTGAAATGACAGAATTACAAAAGCAGAGCAAGTGATTTAAATTAACAGTGCTTGTAAGAAGCACAGATTCTTAAAGGTCCATCTGCTACAACAATCTTTGATAAAACAAACTACCTCCGAGTCATTTTTTAAAAATTCAGGTTTGTTTATCAAGTTTGTTTTTTCTTTTTCTTTTGAGACTCTGCCCCCTACAGGACACACAGAATAATTTCCAACCTGAAGCAAGAAACCTTCCTTCCCTGTTTAGTACTGGAAATGAAAAAGTCTGCAAAGCACATGGATCTTGAAGCAGCTGAATACCATACTCTCTCATGGAAAGGGGGGGGGGGATGAAACAGAATTGATATTACTTTGGAATTTGCTACATTATACATTACATATGTAAATTAGCATTCTCTCCACCCTAAATTAGAAATGCACCTGCATCCCACTGGAGTGCCAAACCGAAGCATGAGCTACCAGCTGAGCAGAGCAATGGATGTTAGACTTTTATCCCATGGCTTCCCTCCTCCACAACTCGACTATGACTATCCTCCAGATTAACCTATCGAGCACCATATTTAGACAGCCAAGGGAGGCATTCTATCACAGGGAACTGGGTGATGCTGCCAGAGAGTACTATTCTTGCCCATTATATAATGCTTTCCGTCTTCTACTTAGCTTCCTTCTTGCTGCCTCTTCTCCTCTCTTTGCCTTTTCCTGTTTTTAAATTCTCCAATTTTTAGAGGCACTGAGTTTGTTCTCAAATATCCCCTTTCCTCAATGCAAAACATGGGCAATGCATACTCCATTAGAAAGCAAACTTAGAGAAATGTGGTAAGTGCTAACTAAATGACAGCCCTCTTCATTCTCTTACTGTACAGTTCTTAAAGCAGATGCTCCGAGGACAGCCTTGCGAACAAAACTGGGCTATTCTCTCATCTTCCAATAACAAGAGATTTCTGATCCTACCAGCAATCTAATGTCACACAGTCATACAAGTATAATAAGAGTTCAGGATGCTTATCTTGTAAGCAATTAGTATTGCTGTATGCCTGAATTCTGAAATATAATACTGTATGCACCAATGAGAGCCTGAAACACTAACAATTTCTAAAATAAATAAAAATAAGACTACATATAATAAAATTATTGTCTTATTTCAAAACCACTTCCAAAAGTAGCTGGCTGATTCAGCACAGAGTCTGCTCTGTCACACACACACACACACACACACACACACACACACACACACGTACGTTACCTTTTCTGGGGTTTCTGAACTGGCTCAGCATTTCTCCCAATGTGTTTTTATTTTCTGAGACAGGTTTTCACAATATATCCCAGACTTGCCTCAAACTGGCAATCCTCCTGCTTCAGCCTTCCAAGTGCTGGAAATAGGAGTATGCACTGCCATGGGGTTGTCCTAGGATTTCTGGCTCAGTGTTTCTCCTTCTGCAAGCCCCACCTCCAAGTTCCTACTGCACAGTCATCAAGACCCTCCTTAAAGTCCATTATTTTTCAATAGAAAGGTGGCCATTGTGACTACCCTGAATTTAGAGTGTGGGTTTTATTCCGACCACCACCATTTGCTTTTTTCAATGCAGGAGCAAGAACAGAATATAAATCCTGCTCTTGGCTGGTGGTGAGCTTCTTGTTTTTAAACAGCAAACTTAAGTCTAAAAAGCTTGACTTTAAAACTTCTCATTCAGGCTTCAATGAAGTCTGTCTTTGTGGTAAATTATAATCACAAATTTGGGAGTTTAGTGAAAGGGGGGCAATTTTAATTTAGCTTACAGTAGATGGACAGAATAGAGCACTGGGCTTCCCCTCTGTGTCACCCTCACACAGGAACTAGGGCTTCCCCTCATGCCTCAGAAGTCATCTGCTGAATAACTGTTTACCCCCCTTTCAGCCATCTCCATAGTCTTCAATGCTGACTTTCTTTCTTTCTTTCTTTCTTTCTTTCTTTCTTTCTTTCTTTTCTTTCTTTCTTCTGGGGGGGGGGGGGTTCGAGACAGTGTTTCTCTGTGTAGTTTTGGAGCCTATCCTAGCACTTGCTCTGTAGACCAACTGTCCTCAAATACACAGAGATCTGCCTGCCTCTGTCTCCCGAGTGCTGGGATTAAAGGCATGTACCACCAATGCCTGGCTCCAATGCTGACTTTCTATAGCTTCTACTAACAGGAGTTGACAAAGTCATGGTCACTCTCAGCCACCAGGTAGGAACATTTGCCTTGCCTTAGGAGTACCAGTAGTTACTAGGACTTAAATTCTGTCATGAAACAATCTGTGACCTACACAATCACAGTGACCTTTATTCAAGAAGGTAGAGGAAATGGGATATGATGGCTAACTCAGGAAGCCTAAATTCCAGTCTGGTCAGGCTTTGGCCAAGTCATTTGGATTCACTGAGATACATCATGGCTTCTGTTTGCTATCCAGTGAATATTAGAATGGATAGATTTGGTTTGGTTTGGTTTGGTTTGGTTTGGGCTATTTTTGAGACAAGGTCTCATACAGTAACACTGTAGTTCTGACAGGCCTGACACTTGATACATAGTCCACACTAGCTTTCAACTCATGGCAATCCCAACTTAGCCTCCTGTGGGCTGCTTAGAATTTTTTTTTTCTTTTTAAATTAGACAGGGTTTCATTCTGTAGTCGTAGCTGGCCTAGAACCCAGCAAATGTTAATTAAGTACACATGTTGGAAGAGAGATACTTTTTATAAACAATGATTTTAACAAATATCTGTAACTGTCATAGGAGAAGATTTAAATGAATTCCCACTGTAGGGTTCGGGGAAGCTCACGAATAAGCTGGACATGCACTCCATACCTGCACATTTGAAACTCTGAGCAGTAAGTCCTCGCTCCAAAGACAGAGTTGTCAGGATGCTCAAGAAGCTGGTGGTCACCGACTGGCGTTTGTTCTTCCGCAGCTCATGGCCACCGATTTGATCCTTGGGTTTGTTCCTCAGTGTGACTTGGAGGTTTTGTTCTGAACTCCTCGCTGCATTGGCTGCTGTCTTCAGAGCCTCCATCCATTCCTGAGCCCTCTGTCGGGTCTCAGCCCGGAGGCGGAGGACATCTTGGGGGAAAATGACTTGAAAGCAAGAGTCACAACCATCCAGGTTGTCTATCTGCACAGCCAGACACACGTCCACATTGTAGCTCAACAGGGGATCTTCATCCAGCTTGCCAGGGTGAAAGGCCATAAGATAGGCCTTGCTCAGCACAAATGTAAATGCCTTCCAGTTGTTTTGGACGGTCAGTCTGTACAGTGTCCCTGATTTGAGGATGTTTTGGTACTGCTTGGGGCTATGCAGGACAGGGGAGGAGAGCAGCCCACTGGATTTCTTCTGTAAACAGTGGTTCTGTGAACCAAGTCCTGGTGAGTTTGCTGGCTCATCCGGCCGGCCCATGTAATTGGGCGCTGCAGCATGTACAACCTCCCAGAGCTTCTGCCCCCAGTCCAATGCCTCCCATGGGGACTCTGCCTTTAGCTGCAGCTGAGAATTGTCAGAGAGAACAGTGTCTACCATCCTAGCCTCAAGATTGCCTAGAACAGATATGCTCTGGAACTGTGAAAGCTGGTACGTGGCATACAGGCTTTGATTCCCACTGCTGTCCAGGCTGTAGAAGTGTAAGTTGTAGGGGGAGAGCTCGGCATAACAGCTTTGCCAGTAACTGTCGTGGTTCTTCCTGATCTCCAGATAACCCTTCTTCAGTATGTTTGGGAATGTCTGCTTGTGTTCTAGAAAGAAGAAAAGCCAGAGTAATCACTATGAGGAGACAGATACATGAAACCAACCACACTGGGGGCTGACGTCTTTCTAATTCCGATAAAACAAAGCAGAAGTAGTAAAATTCCAGGGTGACAAGATGCATCTGTGCAAATTTCTCACCCTGAGGTGATGAAGGTGTGCATGAGTACATACAGCGGATACAATGTCAATGTGACACAGAAGCCTGTGTACAAACCAGAAAAGCTGGGAAGGCTGTCAACAGAACAGGTATGCCCTGTACACCTAGTCACATTTGCCAGGCCCTTCCCTTTCTAGGTAAATTCTGCAGTTCCAACATACAAGAGAACATTCCTGCCACACAAGTTAATTCCTTGTCTTTTCTTAGGCTGGTGAAGCCAGAAGAGGAGACAGAAAGAGACAATGTGAACTGTGAGCTTATAAATTGTTTCTCAGGCAAGCCCACCAGTCCTCAATGCAGCACCTGGTCCTTCTAGGCAGTGTCATCTCAACCCTTGGGTCTCTCACGTCAGGTGTCAGTTTTCTCTGAGTCTGACTGTGCTATGCTGTGCCCTTGGCTTACAAGGTTGCATCCCATGGCTTCAGCCTGCGACCACATACTTAACTTTCCTCCTGACTTCTCTTGCCTTCCCCCATCTCCTCTGCAGAGACATGTCCCTGGGTCAGCATCAAATACCCTAGCACATTATTCTTCTACCACAGGCTACAATCAGACTATATTATCACAAGTTATTTAATGTCCAAACAAACAAATATTTTATTTGTTTTTTAATGTCTGTCTTCACTAATGGAGTAAGCTCTCTCCTCCTTTTCTGTCTCTTTTCCTTTCTGTAGCACAGCACACAAGACAATGCCTTATCAATACAATAGTGGGTCCTTAGTAAGTATAATATTTGTTAGGTGGGTACAGGTATATACTCGGAATCTTAGCACTTGGAAAACTAAGACAAGAGGATCACGAGTCCAAGGCTAGTCAGCTACACACTGACTGCCATACCAGCCTGTACTACAAAGCAAGTATTTGTCTCAAATAAATAAAAAATGAAAAAGAAAAAAATAAAAGTACTTGTTAAATTATAAATAAAGCTTCTGGCACAGTATCTAACACACAGTAGGTATAATTCCTTTCCTGTCCTTTCTCCCTTCCTCTTACTTACACATGGTGATCTAGTCACAGCATCTTTAATCCATGATAACTGATACCTAATGCCATGCAGTACTTGGATAAAAGGGACTGTCAGTAGAGAGACTCCTGAGAACTTGTTTCTTGAGACAGACTCTCATTTTGTATCCAAGGCTGGCCTCAAACTCAAGATCCTTCTGCCACAGCTTCCTGGGTGCTTACAACAGGTAAGGACTACCACGACTAGTCTCCTGAGAGACCCTGGTCTGCCGTGAAAGGATATCTAGGCATGGGAAGGGTCACAAAGAAGTGACCTGGTAGAAAATTTAAAATCCAAGTTGTTTCTCAGTCTCTCTGCTGATACATTCTACAGACACCACAAACTGAGTCACATCCCTGAAGAGGATGGATAATTTCTGCTTTGGGTAAAGAAACAAGAAAAGGGAGGGAAGGAGGGACAGAGAGAAGGAAGGCGGGCTAGCTAGCTCTCCTTTTAGAATAGCAAACCAACAGAAGAAAGGAGAGAAAGGAGGTGGAGAAAGGCCTATTTTAGCTGCTTTACATCTCTGGCCCTAATGTTAATTCATTACTATTTCTGTGGTAACTAAAAAGGCGTTAATTTCTCACAACCCACACTAATCCCTTTGTAGAAAGAGATAATGGATGCCTACTCTCTGGGCATCTCTCTCTCCTGACAATCAGGAGGGAGGCAGGGCTGTCAGAGGACTGCTGCCACCTCTCCCTCCTCATCTCCATCAGGCTGCATTCTGCATAATCAGACTTAGGATATGCACCCACTCTTATTCCTCCTGTGACCTGGCAGCGCAGCTCTGAGTCCTTGAGTAAAACAAACCACCTCTCTTGCTTTTAGACAGAGACTGCCACCTCCTCTCCTTACTTGCCTGAGAGCTTTTTACTGTACCTACTGGGAATGAATTCTCAGTTTGACTATAACTGTGCTCGGCCCAGAAGCACACCGAACCATGCTCTCACTCCTGTATGAGGTATGGAGACAACAGGTTAGGTAGAAGGGACAAGAGGAAATCTCCAGGGTACGAAAGCTAACATGTGCTCCAACACTGTTTCCCACCCAATAAGACCTATCTTTGTTCTCCTCCAGGGTTCAGCTGGGGTGGGAAGGCCCCAGAGTGTAAGGCCAGCCTGGCTACAGTGAAAAGCCCTTACTCCAAACAAACAAAGCCATGAGGACAGGAGAGAAGCCAGGAAGCTTCTTGGGGCACCTAGTCCTTTCCTAGATTTTGTACTTCTAGGATTAACATCTTTAATTATAGGAGTCTGGGGAGTTACCTTGTCTCTCTAATTTCTGGCAACTGTTATCTTCTATTGGATCTGAAGTATGTTTTTAAATATTTTTTTTTTACTACTGACAAATAGACACACACAAAGATAGATAGATAGATAGATAGATAGATAGATAGATAGGTAGATAGATAGATAGATAGCCTCAGTTGGAGTTTCCTCCAGATCTTATTATTTTAACTCATTTAATTTACATATACATTTTTTGTTTGTTTTGTTTTTCAAGATGCGTTTCTCCATGTAGCTTTGGAGCCTATCCTGGCACTCACTCCGTAGACCAGACTGGCCTCGAACTCAGAGAGATCTGCCTGTGTCTGTCTCCTGAGTGCTGGGATTAAAGGTGTGCACCGCCCGGTTTACATATACATTTTAAAGTACTCAATTTCACAAGAGAATTTCAATCTTAATGACTGTAAGTGATTCAGACAGGATCACTAATAAGATTTACACCATTTCTAGAGAAAAAAAAAAAAAAGCGGAAACATGCTCTAAATAAATCACCATAACATGTAACTTTTACAATGAAACTATCACCAGAAATTCTTCATAACGAAACTAAGAAGCTAGCAAGCCCACCAGCCATCTCACCTCCACTGCCTGCTTCCCAGCACCCTGCACTTCCGTTCCTTCTGAGTGAAGGTCCCTTTTCTCTGCCCCGTCATCCCCAGAGCCCTAGGATTGCTACTGACTAAAGGGGAAGGGAGAATGTTCCCAGCAGGGCACCTGATTCACTTCTGCTCGCCCTGCCCGCCGGGGTTCCTCTTTTGTTATTATTTCCTCATCAGTTCCCCAAAGTTTCTTTCGCATGGTCTCCACCTTCATCAGGATCCAGTCTGCCTCCTTCCTGGCTATCCCATAGTATCCCAAGCTGATCTTCCTGGGTCTCTCTTTCCATAGTACTTACTTGTCAGGCCAAAACCCTTCACATATCCTAGAACACCATACTTACTTAGTCCAAGCTCCCAAGCTTGCCCTTCAATATACCCCATTTTGGAAAATTTCAAACACCCTGGAAGACAGAGGAAATAACCACTATTCAGTTTCAAAACCCATTGGTATGGGTTGAAGGCTCAATAGGTAAAGTGCAAATGAGGACCCGAGTTTGGATCCCAAGCACTCAAGTAAACAGCCAGGTAGGGCTGCAAATCCGTAACCCCTGTACTTAGGGGCTAAGGACTTGCTAGCCAATTTAGCCAAAACTGTGAGCACGTGATGTTGTTCATCTCTGATCTACACACACACACACACACACACACACACACACACACACACACCCATCAAGTTTCTACTATGTTTTGTCACCTGTACCTCTCTTCAACTCTTCATTTTTATTTCATTTTTTCTTCCTAGAATGTTTGAAAGTAAATTATAAGTATCATATCATTTCAACTATAAATGCTTCAGGATGTATCTCTAACCTAAAAAATCAGAAGTTTTAAATTTTATTATATTATTTTCAGCCCCACATTAATAATCCATATTCTGTGGGGTACTGTCTGGCCTTTGATACTTGTCTTTAACATCTCTCACCCTTCCTATACTCTATCCACAATCCTCCCTATGTCTCTTATATAAGCCGTGTACATTCTAGCCTATAGGCCTCTGAAGTTGCAATATTTTCTGGAATTTGTCCCTCTAGCTCCAATGCTTTATGTACTTACCTATCTACCCCATTTTCACTTCCCCAGTGAGACCTGTACCTTACCACGCAAATTCAAGGGACATTCTCAGTCCTCCTCCACCACACCACTTTGCTGGATTTTCTGCAAAGAGCTCTCTCCTCCAAGGGCAGGAGTCTTTATCTCTTTCTCCTGTACACCGGTGGCTGTCTCACCTAATATCTGGACAATGTATCAACAGGTGACTTGGCTAGAATCTCCTGTGTTTATAGCCCACAGTAGAGGAAATAAAATGAGTCTCAAAGTGTCCACACTATGAAGCCCGAAGTACTGAAAGCTTTTCAATGAGTACAGCTAATGGGGTCAGAACCTCAGAAGAGATCTGCATCTGAGAAGTTCTGGTAAGTCTTGGCGAGGAGGTAGTGTTGGCAACAGATACTGAAGAGAACAGAATTGGTTACTGAGAGAAGACAGAAGGCAGGGCATGACATTCCAAATGGTGGGCCCTTCTTTCCTTACTGGCTTATACTCCATCTATCCTCATTGCCAGTCACTCATTTAAGTCATCACCCATCACCTCACTTGATAAAGACTAGCAGAGCGGCCTAACTGGCTCTCTCTCTCTCTCTCTCTCTCTCTCTCTCTTTCTCTCTCCCTCCCCCTTCTCTCCCTCCCCAGAGTCTAGCTATGAAGTCCAGGCTAACCTCAAACTCCACTCCTTCCTGTCATAGCCTCCTGATATGTTGGGTACAATTGGATTGTCTAGTTATTTTTAACCACCAATTAATTCACTATACATTCCACTGAAGCCTGAGGAGACCTAGGAAACTGCATCCTTTTTTCTCACCAAACCTTTAAACCAACTGAGATGCTGACAAGGTCGTCAGACACACACAGACAAAATGATCAGCTGGTTGGAGAATGCAAC